ACCACATAAAAATAAAGATATTGTGTCCAACTACAACTAAAAAAAATTTTTTTTAATTCTTTAAATTTTGAGACAGAGTCTCACTAAGTTGCTGAGGACCTCACTAAGTTGCTGGCTTGTTTGTTGTTTTTCTAATTGGTTATACATGACAGCAAAATGCATTTGTTTGTGTGTTTGTGTGTGTGTGTGTCTGTGTGTGGTGCTGGGGATTGAACCCAGGGCCTTGTGCCTGCAAGGCAAACACTACCGACTAGCTATATCCTCAGCCCCAACAGAATGCATTTTGATTCATTGTACACAAATGGAGCACAACTTTCCACCTGGTTGTACACGATGTAGAGTTGCACCATATGTGCAGTCATACATGTATCTAGGGTAATGCCTTCATCTCATTCCACCATCTTTCCTGCCCCTATCCCACTTCTCCCCCTCTCCCTCTCCTTTGCCCAATCAGAGTTCCTCCATTCTTCCTATGCCTTCCACTTCCCCCCATTATGGATCAGCATCCACTTATCAGAGAACATTTGGCCTTTGGTTTTGGGGGTTGGCTTACTTTACTTAGTATGATATTCTCCAACTCCATCCATTTACCTGCAAGTGCCATAATTTTATTCTCTTTAATGCTGAGTAACATTCCATTGTGTATGTATACCACAGTTTCTTTATCCATTCATCTGTTGAAGGGCATCTAGTTTGGTTCCACAGTTTAGCTATTGTGAATTGATCTGCTATGGACATTGATAAGGCTGCATCACTATAGTATGCTGATTTTTGGTCCTTCGGGTATAGACTGAGGAGCAGGATACCTGGGTCAAATGGTGGTTCCATTCCAAGTTTTCTAAGGAATCTCCATATTGCTTTCCATAGTGGTTGCACCAATTTGCAGTGCCACCAGCAATGTATGAGTGTACCTTTTCCCCCACATCCTCGCCAACACTTATTATTGCTTGTATTCTTGATAATTGTTGAGGCTGGCTTTGAACTTTGATCCTTCTGCCTCAGCCTCAAGAGTTGCTGGGATTATAGGCAAGTGCCACCTCACTTGCCCAGCTCACTTTTTTTTTTCTTTTTTATTAAGGTGGGGTCTCACTCTGCTCCCCGTTGCCCAGGCTGGTCTCCAAATTGGCTTGTGTTCAAGTGCTCTTTTCTGAGCCCTTCCTCCCTCAGCCTCCTGAGTAGCTGGGACTACAAGTTTGAGCCACCTAACTCAGCAGCAACACTACAACTTTGTTAAAAAATATCTCAATAAAGGACTGGGAGCTGGGCACAGTGGCGCATGCCTGTAATCCCAGCAGCTCGGGAAACTGAGACAGGAGAATCTTGAGTTCAAAGCCAGCCTCAGCAACTGTGAGGCGCTAAGCAACTCAGTGAGACCCTGTTTCTAAATAAAATGCAAAATAGAGCTGGGGATGTGACTCAGAGGTCTAGTGTCCCTGAGTTCAATTCCTGGTACCCAAAAAATAAAGTATTGTTTCCATCTAAACTGAAAAAAAAAAAGACTAGGGATATAGCTCAGTGGTAGAGCACTTACCTAGTCTGCATGGAGACCCTCTTCAATCCCAGGCATTACAAAAAAAAAAAAGAAGAAGAAGAAGAAGAAGAAGTCGTCGTCAAGCTGGGCATGGTGGTGCACACCTGTAATCCCAGTGGCTTGGGAGGTTGAGGCAGGAGGAAACCAAGTTTGAGGCCAGCCTCAGCAACTTAATGAGGCCCCAAGCAACTCAGCAAGACCCTCCATCAAAATATATAAAATTTAAAATGGCTGGGGATATAGCTTTATGGCAAAACCCCTGGGTTTAATCTCAGTACCCCCAATTTTTTTAATTAAAAAAAAACAAGGGAGAGAACTGAACAACAACAGATGAGGTAGAGAGGGAAGATGGGAGGGGAGGGGAGGGGGGATAGTAGGGGATAGGAAAGGCAGCAGAATACAACAGTCACAAATATGGCATTATGTAAAAATGTGAATGTGTAACTGATGTGATTCTGCAATTTGTATTTGGGGTAAAAATGGGAGTTCATAACTCACTTGAATCAAATGTATGAAAGATGATATGTCATGAGCTTTGTAATGTTTTGAACAACCAATTAAAAAAAATGGTCTGGGATGTGTCTCAGTGGTAGAGAACCCCTGGGTTCAATTCCCAGTACTAAATAAATAAACAAGATAAAACAAAATAAAAACTATTATGGTAGTCAGACTGATGGCACATGCCTATAATCCCAGCTACACAAGAGGCTAAGGTAGGAGGATCAAAATCTGGAGACCAGCCTGGGCAACCTTAGCCAGACCCTGTCTCAAAATAAACGCTAAAAAGGACTTGTGACATAGCTCAGGGTTATAGTGCCCCTAGGTCAGTCCCCAGTATCAAAAATATTTAGTAATAAAGGTAATTAAAGAGATTGCACTCTCCAGGTTGTTAGTGGACAAACTAACATTAAGTGCTTCCTAAAAGGATGTGGCAGGAACAGGAAACACCCAATATCACCTGTTTAATGTTATAGCCCTAAAAGTTCAGTCTGAATCAAATCATAAACAGACAAAGCAACATGATGGGACATTCTCCAATTGCCTTGGAATTTAGAGAAAAAAAAAATTTCACGAAAAGAAAAAAAAAAATTTTCACGAAAAGTCACGAAAGGAAAAAAGCAAAAGAATTGTTCTAGATTTACAAATTAAGGATCTGGGCATGGTGGCGCATACCTGTAATCCCAGCAATTTTGGAGGCCGAGGCAGGAGGATCATGAGTTCAAGGTCAGCCTTAGCAACTTAGCAAGGCCATGAGCAACTTAGCAAGACCCTGTTTCAAAATTAAAAAATAAAAAGGGCTGAGTAGGTGGCTCAGTGGTAGAGCACCCCTGGGTCCAATCCCCAGTATAAAAAAGGGGGGGGAGGGGCAGGGCTAAGGGAATAGCTCAGTGGTAGAGCGCTCGCCTGGGACCCGTTGGATCCTCAGCACCGAATAAAAATAAATAAATTAATTAAAGGTATTGTGTCCATCTACAACCAAAACATAAAAATAAATTTAAGGCTGGAGTTGTAGCTTAGCGGTAGAGTGCTTGCCTAGCACATGCAAGGCCCTGGGTTCAATCCTCAGTATCACATAAAGATAAATAAATAAAATAAAGGTATTGAGTCCAACTACAACTAAAAAAAAATTTTTTTTTAAAGGATTGGGGAATGTAGCTCAGCATTAGAACACCCCTGGGTGTAATCCCTAATACCACACACATGTGCACAGAGACACAATTAAAATTAAGGAGCTGTAACAACTAAATTCACTGTCAGATTCCTAATTAGAATATACAATTTAATAAAACTAAGCTTAAAGGACATTTTGGGGGCAGTTACAGAAATCTGAACACAGATGGTGTGCTGGATAATTTTGTATCCAGTGCCTCCTAAGTGAGATAATAGAATTGGGCTTATGTAAGATATGCTAAGTATTAGGACACACACACACACACACACTTTTTTTTTTCCTCCTTTTTTGTGATACCAGAGATTGAGCTCAGGGGTACTCTATCACTAACCTTCATCCCCAGCCTCCCTAAATTGTCCAGGCTGCCCTGGAATTCCACCTTCCTGCCTCAGTCTCCTGAGTTGTGGGATTAAGAGTGTACCACCCTGGCAGAAGATGTATTTTTTAAAATATAGTTAAGAGTGAAGGTTGGATATTTGCATTTTATCTTTCCTTTATTTATTTGTTTTCATTTATTTATTGACTTATTGTAGTACTGGAAATTGAACCCGGAGGCACTCTACCACTGAGCTACATTCCCCAGCCCTTTCTATTTTTTATTTTAAGGCAGGATCTCCTTAAATTGCTGAGATTGGCCTCAAACGTGCCATCCTCCTGCCTCAGTCTCCCCAGTAGCTGAGATTACTTGTGTATGCCTCCATGCCTAGCGGCATTTTACCTTTCGACAATTGAGAAAAAGTATTTTTTCTTCTCCCCAGCAGTACTTGGAATTGAGCAAAGAATTTTAATGTGTGTCTGTGTATACCTGTGCACATACATATGTATCAGTTAGGGTTTAACTAGAGAGGAAGGGTCACTCTGGGTGACTGGTATAGGAACTAGGCCTCTGCAATGTGGGCCGCCATGGAGGAGCCAGCTGTGTGAGGTTCTATAACTTGCTAATAGCTGGAAAGGAGAGAGGCTTGCCAAGTCAGGGAGAGCAAGGGCAGAACACACCGGGGCCTCAGTCTGTCCCCCACCCTTTTCAATATTGAGGAGACAGGTGATCTGCCGGAGAACAGGGTCCTTTCCTTGAGTGGTGCACAAACCTGGCCCACAACTCAAAGAAGCTGAAGGAAAAGACACAATGGGAACTGGAGAAGCTGCAGGCCCAGGTGCTGCCCAAACCCAACAAATCCCAGGCAAATTAGCAGATGAACGACAACCATGGCCACCAGCAACAGAGCCTGCAGCCTTCCACCAAAGTGCAGCACAGGCAGTGCAGCTGCGCCACGGCGGCGCTGGGGGATGCAGCTCAGGGGTGGAGCACACCAGGCAAGCGCCAGGCCCTGGGTTCCATCCCCAGCACCAAAAAAAAAAAAAAAAGAAGAAGAAGAAAAAGAAAAAGAAGTTGCTTCTCTTTCCAAATCTGGTACAAACTAATTTAGTGACCAACCCAATTCAGAATCCCACAGGGAGAGAATTCAAGGAAAGTCAGTTCCAGCTGAGCCAAGCTGATACAGCACAAAGTGGAACATGTGTCTGTGAGGAAGAGGAAGCAGACATGGCAACTGTTAGGAATTGGTGGCTCCAGGTGAAGAGCACTCAGCTTTACTGTAGTTTGAAATTTTTAATAAAATTTGGAGAGTTGGAAAAGGCATCAGGCCCAGATGGATTTACTAGGTTTTTAACTCGGTTTCATCTAGCGTTTGAAGATCTGATTGTTCTGATTATTAACAGAAACTATTCTAGATCATAGGAACATATAGAGGTTCCCAATTCATTCTCCTAATATAAGCTTACTTTTTTTTTTTTAAGATCAACAAAGGGGAGCTGGGCACGGTGGTGCATGCCTGTAATTGCAGCAGCTTGGGAGGCTGAGGCAGGAGGATCAGGAGTTCAAAGCCAGCCTCAGCAAAAGCAAGGTACTAAGCAACTCAGTGAGACTCTGTCTCTAAATAAAATACAAAATGTGGCTGGGATGTGGCTCAGTGGTGGAATGCCCCTGAGTTCAATCCCCAGTACCCCACCCCACCCCCCAAAAAATAGTTCCAGGCAGGGGAAGGCAGTGCAGGTCAGTGGTAGGGTATTGCCTAGCACACACAAAGGCCTGGGTTCAGACTAGGGATGTGGCTTGGTGGTAGAGTGCTTGCCTAGCATGTGCTAAGGCCCTGGATTCAATCCCCAGTACTGAAAAGGCCTGGGTTCCATCCCCAGCATTGGAAAAGAAAAAAGAAAAGTTATAAGAGCTTTAAATGGGCATGGGCAGGACTGCAGCTGGGATCATGGACGGGAAAGGGACTGGAGAGAACGTTCCAGTTCCCATCCATACCTGTTGCTTCATCTACATCTGAACCGTAAATAATAAATTATCAAGTGCGCACCTGTAATCCCAGCTACCCCGGGAGATTGGGGCAGGGGATCCCAAATTCAAGGCCAGCCTTGGCAACTTATTAATACTCTGTCTCAAAATGAAGAGTAGAAAGGTTTGGGTATGTAGCTCCGTGGCAAGGTGCTTGAGTAGCATGTGCCCAGGTTCAATCCTCAACATGGCAAAAAAAAAAAAAAAAAGGTACCCAACTGTGCACTTGCTATATGTAACTTTTATTGAAATAGAAATAAAATGTTGGGGCTGGGGCTGGGGCTGGGGCTCAGTGGTACAGCGCTTGCCTAGCATGTGTGAGGCACTGGGTTTGATTCTCAGCACTGCATACAAATAAAAAATAAAGGTCCATCAAAAAACAATTTAAAAAAAAAGAAATGTTAAAACATAACCATTGCCTTGGTGTAGAGACTAGAGCCATGGTCCAGACAGACCTGAGAAGGGAGCCAGGAGAAAGGGACAATGACCCAGGATGAAAGGGGCAGAGATGGGGCACACAGGAGTCCTTGAGGGAGGAAGGGGCTCAAGGTGAGTTCATGTTGAACAACTGGGTGATTGGTAGTGCTGGAAACTGAGATGGGGGTTCTGAGATAAGCGGGACCTCTGGAGCCCTGTTCCCAGCCCCATTTCACCCTCGAGTTGAATTCCCTCTGCGGCTGTGCGTGGACTACCACCAGGGGGCAGTGGGTCCCTTCCTGACTGAATCATGGTGCAGGTGCTGGGTGGAGTCCAATACCAGCAGGTCCAGAGAGCAGCCCTCTGGATTCATAGGTGAAACATAGTGTTCAGGTGTTCTCGGAGCCAAGACTCTGTGCCCCTCGTAGAAGCATTTACGGGAGGGGAAGGGAAGGAATTTCCATCCCCAATCCCTTGTGACTCTAGCCCATCCCTGGTTCCCCTTTCTGGTCAGGAAGGAACCGGGCTCCATAAGATGATTCCAAGAACTTGCTGTGGACACTGTCCTCCCCACCTGCCTCAACTCAACCCTAGTCCTGCTCAGGGAAGGGATGGAACTCCCAGAGAGCACTCACTGCCCATGTCCCCCATACTGTTGCTTCAACCTGACATTCTTTTCTGCTGGGCATTCTATACATTCCTCAAAGATTGTTTCCTCCAGGACCCTTGCCTGACCTGAGCCTTGGGTCACACCCAGTCCCCCTCCTTCTCCCATCATGCCCCTCTCTTCCTAGATCATAGTAGTCCATGTAGCTGGCTGGTGCTTCAGCTCAGCTGTGGCTCTGAAAGGCAGGGCTGGGCCTCACTTGGTCTCAAAGAATATTTGTTAAATGAATGAAAGATTGAGTGAATGTAAAAGGACGGCATCTCAGTCCAACCTGGAGTTTTGAAGTCAGAGAGAGCAGGGATTGCCAGCTGCAGTGGCACATGCTTATAATCTCAGTGACTCAGGAGGCTGGGGCAGGAGGATTGAAAGTTCAAGGTCAGCCTCAGCAATTTAGCAAGGACTTAAGCAACTTAGTGAGACCCTGTCTCAAAATTAAAAAAAAAAATTAAAATTAAAAAAAAGGTTTGGGGATGTGGCTTAGTGGTTAAGCACTCCTGGGTTCAATCCCCAGTACCAAAAAAAAAAAAAAAAAAAAGAGAGAGAGAGAGAGAGACCAGAGTTTAAGTATGGGCATTACCACTTATGAGCTATGAAAGCTCAGCAACAGTGTTAACATCTCTGGGCCCCAATCTCCTCATCCAGGTATTTCAAATTTTTTTGTTTTGCTTTGTTTTGTTTTGTTTGGTGATGGTGGATTGAATCCATGGCCTCAAGGTTGCCATGCACACACTATTAGAATTATTGGGCAGTTTCAGTGGTCTGATGCTTGTTAATCCCTTAACCTGAAATCTACATATAGTATATGCTTAATAAAAACAAGAGATTTATGTGTGTGTGATTAAAAATGTAATTTGTGGGTTGGAGCAATTGCTAGCATGCAGAGAGTGCTGGGCTCTATTCCTAACACTGCAAAAAAAAAAAAAAAAAGGAAAAAGTAAACTGAATTTGTGTGTGTGTATGTAATTATATTTGTTTATGCAAGCATAGAAAAATAAGAATGTAACCAGGTGTGGTGGTGCACACCTGCAATCTCAACGACCAGGACACAGAGGCAGGAGGACTGCAAGCTTGAGTCCCGCCTCAGCAATTTAGCAAGATCCTACCTCAAAGTAAAATAAAAAGGGCTTGGGATGTGGTTTGGTGGTAAAGCGCCCCTGGGTTTAATCCTTAGTACTGCACACAAAAAAAGAAAAGAAAAAGAAGGCTGTAAAAACTAAATTACTGTTAGTTAAGACCAGAGAGTGAAATTGAAGAAATAAGGTAAAAGTTTTCATGCTGTAGTTCTTATATTTCTGTAGTTAGACGTCTCATATTAAACATATTTTTCTCTTCCTTCTCCTCCTTCTTCTTTTTTGAGATGGGATCTTGACGTTGTCCAGACTGGTCTTGAAGTTCTGGGCTCAAGGAATCCTCCCACCTCAGCCTTTCAAGTAGCTGGGACTACCAGTGTGCACCACCACAGCTGGCTAGCATGGTTTAAATAAATAATGTAACATTTAAATGAAAAATAAAATTCAATAAGCATGCAACAGAATGTTCAACTCAAATTATTAGTCATCAGTCACAAAGGAAATGAGAAAACCACCAGGAGATACAAGGGCTCACCAGCAGGAAAGCTAGGATTAAAGGCCTGGCAATACCAAGTGTCCGCAGAATGTGGAACAGCCGGAACTCTTATACATTGTTGGTGAGGGTGTAAAAGAACAAAGACATTCTGGAAAAATGCTTGACAGTTTCTAGTAACAAGAACACATCCCTTCTGAACCAGAAATTCCACTCCTAGCTATTTACCCAGGGCTAATAAAGAAATGTGTCTAAAAAAAACTTACACACATATGTTAGCAGCCTCATTATTTATGAGCCCCAAACTGGAAGCAGCCCAAATGTCTACTGACAGAAGCACTTTATCTAGCCAGTGGAGTATTACACAGCAATAAAAAGGAATAACTAGCCAAGCACAGTGGCACATGCCTGTAATCTAAGCAACTCAGGAGTTTGGGATAGAAGGATCATAAATTCAAAGCCAGTTGACTGAGACCCTGTCTCAAAATAAAAAGTAAAAAGTACTGGGTATGTAGCTAAGTGGTAAAGGGCCCCTGGGTTCAATCCCCATACCAAACATAAAAAATAAAATAAGAGTGAGCTACCCACACAGGCAGCCACATGGATTTATATCAAGTGTTTTGCAAAAGAAGCCAGACACCAGACACCAAAGAAAATCAATTGCATTGCTATTTAATTCAATTTATATGAAGTTCTAGGAAAACAAAAACAGTTCATTGTGATGAAAGTCAAATAGCAGTTATCTTTAAAGCAAAATGGACCAGTACAAGAGGACTTTTTGAGGTGTGGAAATGTCGTATCTGTGCCTGGGTGATGGTGACAAGTATCTACATGCAGATGAAAGACCACTGCCCTAGCACAATGTCCACAACAGCCCCCACGGTACCCAGGATGGAGCCAGGGCTGCTCTGCCACTCAGCGACATCCTCAGCCCCTTTCTACTGTTCATTTTGAGACAGGATCTTGCTAAGTTGCCCAAGCTGCCCTCCAACTTGCCATCCTCCCGCCTCAGCTTCCTGAATCACTGGGATTACAGCATGTGCCACTTGGCTTTATTTTTAACAGCCCCAACAGGAAACAGCTCAAATATCCATCAATAAGCCGATGGAAAAACTGTGATCTATCTCTACAGTATGGGACAGCCCAGCAATAAAGCAGAATGAACTATTAATATAATAATATGGATGAATCTCAAAGTAATGATACTGAGTGAAGGGTGGGGGGTGGACAGCAGTAGATAAAAAAGAGTAGTGCCGCCAGGCACGGTGGTGCACACTTGTAATCCCAGCAGTTCAGGAGGCTGAGGCAGCAGGATTGTGAGTTCAAAGCCAGCCTCAGCAACTTAGTGAGGCCCTAAGTAACTCAAGGAGACCCTGGCTCTAAATAAAATACAAAGGGCTAGGGATGTGGCTCAGTGGTTAAGCACCCCAGGTTCAATCCCTGATACCAAAAAATAGTAGTGCTGTGTGATTCCATTAATATACAATCTTGGAAAATGCCAGCTGATCTATAAAGATGAAAATCAGGTCAACTGTTGCCCGGGGAGCTGTGGAGGGAGTAGAGGGAGGGAGAGTCACCAAGGGCAAGAGGGAGCTTTTTTGAGTAATGGGTATACCTTTGATGTTGACTGTGATGATGGTTTTACACGTATAAGTAAATAAAATAAAGGTATTGTGTCCAAATAAATAAATAAAGATATTGTGTCCACCTATAACTAAAAAATTTTTTAAAAATTAAAAACATATGCCCCAAACCATCAAATTCTGTACTTTAAATATATACAGTTTATTATCCATCAATTATATTTCCATAAAACCTTTTTTTTAAATTTAATTTTATTTTTTTTCAAACTTTTTTTTAAGAGAGAGAGAGAGAGAATTTTAATATTTATTTTTTAGTTTTCGGCGGACACAACATCTCTGTTTGTATGTGGTGCTGAGGATCGAACCCGGGCCACACGCTTGAGCCACATCCCCAGCCCTCCATAAAACCTTTAAAACGTATTTTGTTTATCTATTTATTTTTGTGGTGCTGGGGATGGAACCCAGGCCCCTGCACATGCTAGGCAAGTGCTCTACCACTGAACTACAGTCTCAGCCTCAAAAACATATTTTTAAAATTCACTCAGCCTGGGTGTGGTGGCTCATGCCTGTAATCCCAGTGATGTGGGAGGCTGAGGCAGGAGGATAGAAAATTGAGGCCAGCCTTAGTAATTTAGGGAAAGCCTCAGCTACTTAGTAACACCTTGTCTCAAAAAATAAATAAATAAATAAAAGCCTGGGGATGTGGCTCAGTGGTACAGCAACTCTGGGTTCCACCCTCAGCACTAAATAAAATAAAATAAAATAAAATAAAAAGCCTGGGGATGTGGCTCAGTGGTACAGCACCTCTGGGTTCTGCCCTCAGTACTAAATAAAATAAAATAAAACAAAAACTCAGGCCTAGTGTAGTGATGCACGCCTGAAAGCCCGGCTACTTCAGGAGGCTTAGGCAGGAGGATGGAAAGTTTGAAGTCAGCCTGTACAATTCAGCAAGACCTTGACTCAAATTTCAAAAATGGAAAAAAAGGGTTGAGGATGTAGCTCAGTGGTAGAGCATCTAATGTTCTATCCTCAGTACTGCAAAAACCCCAAACAGCCCACAACTTAGTTGTTATATGTAAATTAAACTCCAACAAAGGAAAGAGGGGAGGAGTAGAGACCACATCCAGGTGCCTGACCTTGTCTCAGGGATTAGCTCTTCTAGCCTCACCCAGGCCCCCAGGGTTTGTTCCTGCTAACGTGGAGCACCCCCAGAGAGTTCCCATGGATCAGCTGCTCTGAGCCCAGCTGGGGCACTTGGGAGGCAGTCTCTTTCCTGGCCCTGATGGCCCAGCTCAAAGGACACAGGCTGGGGGATCCCAGGACCCTGGACTGGAGCTTCTACCATGGTCTGTCATCAGAATTAGAATTCAGCGGGGCTGGGGCTGGGGTTGTGGCTCAGAGGTAGAGTGCTCGCCTACATGCGTGAGGCACTGGGTTTGATCCTCAGCACCACATAAAAATAAAATAAAGATATTGTGGGGCTGGGGCTGGGGCTGGGGCTCGGCAGTAAATGCTCGCCTTGCATGTGAGAGGCCCTGGGTTCGACCTTCAGCACCACATATAAATAAATAAAATAAAGGTATTGTGTCCAAATAAATAAATAAATAAAGATATTGTGTCCACCTATAACTAAAAAACTTTTTTTTAATTAAAAAAAAAAAAAGAATTCAGCGGGGCTGGGGTACAGTTCAGTGGCAGAAGGAGTTGATCTCCAGCTGGATAAAAAACTACACAGAGAATCCAGTGCAGACCCACCTATCTTCCCCTGGGGTCCCCACAGTACTCACAAGAGCAGTTACCCTTCCGGACAGGTGGGCTGTACATAGATGATCCCATTGTCCCCAACAACCAATCTGATGGGGATTATTGGCTCCATTTACAAAAATGGAGGCCCAGAGTGGTCAGAGCCAGCCTAGACCCTGCGACCAGGGGCAGCCTGGAGAACATGCATGCTACTGACAGGGCCTGCTGAGAGCCCCAGCCACTCTCCTGGGTGGGCGGGGAGGAAGCATTTCTCCGCCCTGGGGCTCTCTGAAGGCACAGAAAGACACCTGGAGGGAGCAGGAGTGGTAGTAACTGTTAGTAAAGGCATCACCTCTGTGTTTTGTAGAGCAGGAGACACTGGAGAGAAGGCACTGCACAGGTGAATGGTGTGCAGTGGTGCAGGGGGCAAAGTCCTCCTCCTCCTCCCCCTCCTTCTTCTTTTTCTTCTCCAGTACTGGGGGCTGAACCCCATGGGTGCCTTACCACTGAGCCACATCCCCAGCCCCATTTTGTATTTTATTAGAAACAGGGTCTCACTGAGCTGCTTAGGGCCTCGCTAAATTGCTGAGGCCAGCTTTGAACTCAAGATCCTCCTGCCTCTGCCTCCTGAGCTGCTGGGATTACAGGCGTGTGCCAATGCACCCAGCCCCTCAGCCCTTTTTTTATTTTATTATTTAATTTAATTTATTTATTATTATTTTTTTTGTGGTGCTGGGGATGGAATGCAGAGCTTTGTGCATGAGAGGAAAACACTCTACCAACTGAGCTGTATCCCCAGCCCCTTATATTTTATTTTGAGACTAGGCCTCACTAAATTGCTGAACTGGTCCTTGAACTTTTGATCCTCCTGCCCCAGCCTCCCAGGTAGCTGGGATTACAGGTGTGCGCCACCACCACCCTGCCACCGCCACTGTATCCAGCAGGGGAAAGAATCTTGATTAAGTGGCCCCTTGGTCTGCCTGGTTCTGCAGTTAAGACATCTGTGTGGCTTTTTTCCCACCTGTCAGATGCACCAGGTGTTGTCCTACTAGTAGGGGTCTGAAGTGCTGGGGAGCAAAGGCACCAGGTTGGAAAACTGGCTCCCCTGCTTCCCACCTTTGCACCCCATCTCCCCTCTGCCAACTTCAGCCTCCTCATCTGCAAAATCCTCACGGGACTGTAATGCCGAGAACATGTACCCAGCACACAGAGGCTGCTGGGTGTCATAGCCATGTGATTCTGTCCTTGTCACTTTGTAATCAATGAAGACTCGAAGACGCATTCCCCGGCCAGGGAAGTTTCAGTCTAGCGAGACAGCGTATCTTCAAACCACTTAGAACTTACAAAGACTTTCACAAGGTCACAGTGTGACTGGGCATCAGACAGGGCTCAGCCCTGGATTTGGGGGCAGAGACAGGAATTTGTCCATAGGCAGCACTGGTCCCCTTAGTAGAAGGCTTGGTATCCCTAGTCCCACTCAGTGGCACATGCCCGTCCTCTTAACTACTCTAGAGGCTGAAGAGGAGGATGGCAAGTTCCAGGCCAGCCTGGGTAGCTTAGCCAGAGCCTGTATCAAAATAAAATTAAAAAGGGCAGGAGATGTGGCTCAGTGGTAGAGTGC